ACGCATTTTAAATTATTTAAAAATATATTCTTTCGTCTTAAATTTCAGTTCTGTTTGAAATATAATCGCCTAAAGATAATCCGAATTAAAAGAATAATTATTTTCTGGATAAAATAAGCATTTTTTAAGCATTTTTAAAACATTGGAAATTTTTCTGTCCTTCACTCATCGAACCTTCATTTTAAACGAAAAATCAACTTTTTTTAAATATTGTTAAGTAAAGTAAAGATATTTTTTCGGTCCAGTCTGAAAGAAAATAACGTTTTATTCAATTATACAAGAAACAATTCTCAAAATAAGTAATTTGTTTAGATTTTTTTTATTTGTTGAATTACTTTTGGAAAAATATGAGACGAATTTTCAGTCTATTCTTTCAGTATTCATTATTTTTTTTAGTAACATAACATATTCAATAAAAAAAATTATTCATTAATAAATAAGTAACAAAATTTTCGTTTAATTAGAAAATTCCAGTAAAAAATAAATGAGTAGCTATCTATCTATCTCAGTCTGTTCGTATCTATCTATCTATCTATCTATCTATCTATCTATCTATCTCACTCTGTTCGTATGTCATTTTGTTCATATCTATACCGTTCGAGACATTTTGACTTTTGCTCACATTCTAAGCCAGCATTAATAAAGCCATTGTGTCGATCCCAGCGTACGGCACTTTTGGAAAGTGCCTGAAAACCATACCACGGGTTGACCCAAGCCTTGTGAGTGAAATTGGGTAGACAGAACACTTGGGGGGCGTCGATAGCTGTGCTAGCACGAAATCACAAGTCATTGTGACCGAGGGTTTGAGCCTATTGAACTTGTTCAAATTGTTGATCACCCTAGAGATAATACGCTCTTTCGCAGAAACTGTAACTGCATAGTTGCAGTATAAACCACAGGTGGGTTTCTTTAGGTGTTGAATAATCACAAATGTGCCTGAGCAAGCGTCTGCAATAGGGATTGGCTAGCCGCCCTTGTAGACGTGTAGCCTCGAATACGAGTTGCCAGCTATATGTGTATGTATGTATGTATGTATCTATCTATCTATCTATCTCTCTATCTATCTATCTTTCTATCTATCTCAGTCTGTTCGTATATGTCATTTTGTTTGTATCTATATCTATCTATCTTTCGAGACACTTTGATTTTTGCTAACATTCAAAGTATTATTTAAAGCCATTGTGTTAATGATGTCGCCTTCATTCTCGATCTCATCCATTGGTTTAAAAATCAAAACCTCTAAAAAAAAAAAAAAAAAAAAATGAAGCTAAGTATTAAAGAAAAAAGTGACTCATTGATCGAGGTGAAATGTCATCGGAAATTCCTCATGAATAATAATTTGTTTACTTCCTGTTGGTGAAATTAGCATTTCTTGGAATTCCACTAATGAGACTACTTTCACTTTGTCTTTCTTTCAAAGTCAGGAAATTCAAAAGACTTTTTAGATTTTTTTTCAAAATTATGTTGACTTTTTTTTTACTTAGACATTAGAGCTCAAAAGTTTTTTCATTAATAAATATTTTTGGTTTCGTTCTTAATTACATGAGTAGTAAAAAAAGGTTATTTTTCGTTTTTATTACTCAATGTTAATGTCGCCTTGTAACCCAAAAATAATTTAAATTTTTGCAATTTTCGCATTAATTACTTGTTAATTGTTATATAATAATTAATCGGAAATATACGCGCTAGTTACATTTGCACCCATTTTTAAATAAATTATTAGTTAGCAGTTATAAAATAATTTTAAAAAATAATAATTAAATGGCAAAATTTAAAATATTGATTTACTTATTTTTATTTGTGCAAATAAAAAAATACTTTTTTGTACTTTGCACAAAAAATTGGTTTAATTAATTATTATTTTTTAATTATTTTATACTACCAGATAATAAAAATACTTCATAGTAGTGTTTTATTTCATGCTACTAATAATTTTTTTATTAATACTACGTTTTTATCTTATACTACTAACTAATCATTTTTTATTTAATAACTAATGGAGAATTATTTTATTTTATTTTATTTTATTTCATTTTATACTAAACTAATAAAAAAATATACGTTTGACATTTTTGTTTCACTTTCTTGAATTTATATTTGCATCATTTTGTCATCAATTTAAAATGTTGATCTTACATAAAACAAATCTTCATGAATTTACATTCGAATAAATTTTAAATTTTAAATATTTCATCCATTTTTTTTTCTTTCGATTTACATTTTACAAGAAATAAAAAAATAAATATGAATTCGATTTCAAAAATAAAATCCTATGGAAATAATTCACGATTTTAATGAAACTTTTATTCGGCATTTTCTTTTTATTTAAATAAAAATGATACTTGATGGAATTAAATTCGATTTTATTCAGATTTATCACAAATTTCAAGTTTATTTGTTTTGGTTTAATTTTTTTATCAAATTATTAAATGTCGTGAGTTATTTGAAAGCAAAAAGGGAAGAAGAGAATTCTCCCTCCCCCTCTCTCTCATTGTTACATGTTCTCTCACTTGCTTCTCTCTTTCCCCTCTTTTCTCTCATTTATTACATGTAAAAAAGAGAAAGAAAAGAAAAACTCTTCTGTCCAGTGGCGTGATTTCGTCCAATGAAATGTTTTTATATTCCTATGACGTCATCCTGGTTACAGTTAAATACACTTGGGCGTCGTCGCAGTTCAATCCAACGACAAGGACGACTGCTGGTTTTGATGAAAACTAATTTCATTCCAGTGAAATCGAAATCAACTACAGTAAGTAAGAATTTCAAATCCAAATCATCCAACTTTCTGTAATGTTTCCATAAACAGAATGAGACTTTTAATTCCCCCTTTTTTTAAATCGTTTTACTCAAAGAAAGCCACTAAGACGCAATTAGATGTCTATATCTCTGAGATGAGGTATTATGATTATTTACATCCCTCATGTTATCCCTCATTGCCATAATCACAACGTTTCGTGTTTTCTTCAGGTGATTGGAATTTCGTTCACGTGTCCCAGTTATTTCCCTTTAACACAACTGCTGTAGACTGAAATTGAACTTACAACAGTCACTACGACATCTAATCAACACTGAGTAAAGTGCCCTTGAGGGCATCGGTGTATGAATTTCTGGGACTTGCCAGTAAACCTAATATCTCAGTAGCAATTTTTCCATTATTATTATTATTGCATTTTTTTACCAGAGCTTATATTGTAATTTTTACATTGTGTGCGTATGAGATTTTAGAAGAAATAACTTGTTAGTTTTCATTAATTAAGCGAGAATCTACGTCCGAATTTCATTTGTATTTCTTTCGAGTTGGATTCATTTTCACTTTTATCATCCATTTACATTAAATTTACAATGTAAATTTGGCATTAAAACAACTTCTAATGTCCTAAATATATTTTTTCTTTCGTTTTGCGAAAAAGAAAATAAATTAAAAATCGATTCCAACAAAGAGAAATAGTTTATGAAATAAACATTTATATAAATTCAAACTTTATTCAACATTTTCGTTTTATTTACATAACATGATACTTGATAGAATTAAATTAAATTTTATTAATATTTATCACATTTTTAAAGTTTATTTATTTATTTAAAAGTTTCTTTCCATTCAAATGAGGTCAACAATTTGAAAAAGAGGATAGGAATCCCCCTCACCCTATTTCATACAACCTTTCCTTTTCTTCTCACTCTTTCTTCTCTCTCTCATTCCTCCTTCCCCCCCTTCATTTATCTATTACCCGTTTCCTTATTTTCCCTCCCTTATTATCTAATGAAACGCCCCCCAGTCCGGGTAGGGGGTGATTATTTTCGTCCAATGTAATACCTTACAAACCTATGACGTCACAGCACTTTCCCCCCGCTGGACTCACTTTGTGAGAAACGGACACAACGAAGAAGACGTAATATTTTGAGTCCCTCTTTTTTGGGAGAAAAACTAATTTTACTCAAGTGAAATCGAAACGAAATCAATTGTAAGTCAGAATTTTCCTATCGATTTCCAAATCGAAATTTCAAAAATGTTTTCATGAATACAACGAGAAATTTGGGTTTTATTTGCTTTTCTCTTGTTTTTTTAACCGAATTTATATTTAGAGAAAACTTTTTTCTCTATTCATAGAATTTTAAAAAATGTCTAATTTCGGATTCTATCATAAAATAAATGCGTTTTTAGTTAACATTTCTGATAAAGTATTTCCAATAAAAGATTGAAAATGACGTTTATTATTTATCGTCAGCTTATTATTTATTTCCTGGGGGGGGGAGTAAATTTGCTTTTTAAGCCCCGCGCTAAAAATATCTATAAAAATTTCCCCAGATCGTCATAATTCCGTGTAAATGTACATGCTAAACTCGAATTAACAATTAAATTATGAAAAAAGCTACCGTTTTGGAGTTATCGACAGGAAAAACTCGGACTAATTCTGGGTAACTTGTCCTTCATTACGGGCATTGTTTTTACAGATTAACCGCGGGGTACTTCTGAGTATTTTCGTTGGCGTAAGCATAAATTTTGGCCTATTTGCTTCTTTTACAGAATTTTATCACAGAAATCACTACGCACTACCGTAAAGCAATCTATTTTTATTTTTTTATTTTTTTTTGATAAATGCACTTTTTTTCCGTGTAGAATAGCAATGACAAATTAAAAGAACAAATTAAATAATATAATAAAGCATTTTTTTAATTAAAAAAAAAACAAACAAAAATAAAACGAATAATAATTAATGCGCCAACTTCGCATGAAGTTTAAAAAGAGCATGATTATTTGCGAATATGACGATAAAATAGCAGGCGATAAATAGCTCTGCTAACATCTGAATATTTTTTAACAATCTTTCTTTCTTCCATTGGCCTTGTACCATTCTAAACTGTGATTAGTGAAGAAGATAAAAAAAAACAAGTGTTCATTTGAAAAAAAGCAGTCCTCACATTGTACGTGTCTTTTTCCAAAAAAAAGGTAAAAACAAAAATAATCTAAAAAAATATTAAAATTTGAAAATAAAAGTAAAATGAATGTTAAATGTGACTGCGATGGAGACAAATTGGAGCCAGCCCCCCCGCCCCCAACCTGTTTCTTTTACCCTTTCTTTCCTTCCCTTTCTCGCATTGCACTTCGCTCTCTCTCTCTCTCCCATTCTCGCATTGCTCTTCGCTCTCTCTCTCTCCCATTCTCGCATTGCTCTTCGCTCTCTCTCTCTCTCCCATTCTCGCATTGCTCTTCGCTCTCTCTCTCTCCCATTCTCGCTCTCTCTTCGCTCTCTCTCTCTCCCATTCTCGCATTGCTCTTCTCTCTCTCTCTCCCCTTCTCTCGCATTGCTCTTCCTTTCTCCCCTCTCTCCCATTCTCGCATTGCTCTTCGCTCTCTCTCTCCCATTCTCGCATCTCTCTCTCTCTCTCTCTCTCCCATTCTCGCATTGCTCTTCGCTCGCTCTCTCTCTCTCTCTCCCATTCTCGCATTGCTCTTCGCTCGCTCTCTCTCTCTCTCTCCCATTCTCTCCCATTGCTCTTCGCTCTCTCTCTCTCTCTCTCTCCCATTCTCGCATTCTCTCTCTCTCGCTCTCTCTCTCTCTCTCCCTTCTCTTCTCTCATTGCTCTTCTCTCTCTCTCCCTCTCTCTCTCTCTCTCTCCATTCTCGCATTGCTCTTCCATTCTTATCTCTCTCTCTCTCTCTCCCATTCTCGCATTTTTCTTCTCTCTCTCTCTCTCTCTCTCTCTCATTCTCGCTCTCTCTCTTCTCTCGCTCTCTCTCTCTCTCCCATTCTCGCTTTGCTCTTCGCTCGCTCTCTCTCTCTCTCTCCCATTCTCGCATTGCTCTTCGCTCGCTCTCTCTCTCTCTCTCCCATTCTCGCATTGCTCTTCTCTCGCTCTCTCTCTCTCTCCCATTCTCACATTGCTCTCTCTCTCTTTTCTCTCTCTCTCTCCCATTCTCGCATTGCTCTTCTCTCTCTCTCTCTCTCTCCCCATTCTCGCATTGCTCTTCGCTCTCTCTCTCTCTCTCTCTCTCTCCCATTCTCTCCCATTGCTCTTCTCTCCCTCTCTCTCTCTCTCTCCATTCTCGCATTTTCTCTTCTCCCATTCTCTCTCTCTCTCTCTCCCATTCTCGCATTCTCTTCTCTCTCTCTCTCTCTCTCTCTTCTCTCCTTTTTTCTCTCTCTCTCTCTCTCCCATTCTCTCTTAAAAACTCTCAAGCTCTCTCTCTCTCTCTCTCATTCTTGTCATTGCTCTTCTCTCTTCTCTCTCTCTCTCTCCCTCTCTCAATTCTCTCTTCTCTCTCTCTCTCTCTCTCCCATTCTCCATTTTGTTTCTCTCTCTCTCTCTCCATTCTCTTCTCTCTCTCCCAAAATCTTCTCTCTCTCTCTCCCATTCTCATTTCTCTTCTCTTCTCTCTCTCTCTCTCTCTCTCTCTTTCTCTCTCTTTTCTCTTCTCTCTCTCTTTCTCTCTCTCTCTCCCTTTCTCTCTCTCTCTTCTCTCTTCATTCTCGCTTGGTCTTCGCTCTCTCTCCCATTCTCGCATTGCTCTTCTCTCGCTCTCTCTCCCATTCTCGCATTTTTGTCTTCTCTCTCTCTCTCTCCCATTCTCGCATTCTCTTTTGAATCTCTCTCTCTCTCCCATTCTCGCATTGCTCTTCCCTCTCTCTCTCTCTCCCATTCTCGTCATTGCTCTTCGCTCGCTTTTCTCTCTCCATTCTCGCATTGCTCTCTCTCTCTCTCTCTCTCTCTCCCATTCTCGCATTGCTCTTCGCTCGCTCTCTCTCTCTCTCTCTCTTCTCTCCATTTTCTCTTCTCTCTCTCTTCTCTTTTCTCTCTCTCTCTGCCATTCTCGCATTCTCTTCTCTCTCTCTCTCTCTCTCTCTCTCCCATTCTCTCATTCTCTCTTCCCTTTTTCTCTCTCTCTCTCTTCCGCTCCTTTCTCTCTTCGCTCTCTCTCTCTCCATTCTCGCATTGTCTTCTCTCTCTCTCTCTCCCATTCTCGCATTGCTCTTCGCTCGCTCTCTCTCCCATTCTCGCATTGCTCTTCGCTCGCTCTCTCTCCCATTCTCGCATTGCTCTTCGCTCGCTCTCTCTCCCATTCTCGCATTGCTCTTCAACTCTCTCTCTCTCCCTCTTCTCTCATTGCTCTTCTCTCTCTTCTCTCTCTCTCTCATTCTCTCTCTCTCATTCTCTCTTCTTCGCTCTCTCTCTCTCTCTCTCCCATTCTCTTTTTTCTCTTCTCTCTCTCTCTCTCTCTCTCTCCCATTCTCGCATTGCTCTTCGCTCCTCTCTCTCTCTCTCTCTCCATTCTCTCATTCTCTCTCTCTTTCTCTCTCTCTCTCTCTCTCCCATTCTCTCTTTTTCTTCTCTTTCTCTCTCTCTCTCTCCCATTCTCTCATTGCTCTTCGTCTCTCTCTCTCTCTCTCTCCCATTCTCGCATTGCTCTTCGCTCGCTCTCTCTCTCCCATTCTCGCATTGCTCTTCGCTCGCTCTCTCTCTCCCATTCTCGCATTGCTCTTCGCTCGCTCTCTCTCTCCCATTCTCGCATTGCTCTTCGCTCGCTCTCTCCTCAGTTTCTTTCGATTTCTCTCATTCTTTCAGTCACTCTTCTTACACACTATATTTCCTCACCTCTCTATCTCCCCGTTCCCCACTCTCTTATTTCATTCACCCACCTCTTCACCCCCCACCCCCGATTTATTCGTGATTTTAGAAAAAACAATTTTCTTTCAGAAAATCGATTTGTTTTTCTTCTAAAATCTCAAAATTTCGCCTCATTTTATGTCAGGTTTTATAAATCGACTTTATTTTCGTCTTTTTATGATTTTGAACTTTGACCATTTTTTTTTTTTTTTTTTTTTTTTTTTTTTCAGATTGATTTTATCTTCTCAAATAATTTGCAAATGGAGTCCAACGTCAGTGAAGATATTTTTCTATGTTCTAAATGCCACAAATTCTTGGACTTGAAATCGAAGACATTGCCATGTCTTCATTCTTTGTGCCTGTCATGTCTGGAAAGCCATATAGACAATTTCAACTGTCCCCAATGCCATGAGCCAGTGAAGGTATGTGACCAGTTGAGACTAGCACCATTTTTGTCTAAGTCTTTGAGGCGCCGTCATTTGAAATCCAATTTGCAATGGTTGTGTGATCATTGCATTGAAGACCACACAGAATCGATCTGCGAGATTTGGTGCCGGGACTGCCAAAAGCTCTTTTGCCAAAAATGCCAGAAATCCCATAATAAATTCTTTCCCAAACATAAAACCAAAGACTTAGTTGGAATGGCGACGGACGATGCCATAACAGTCATTACGACGGACGAATGTCACCTGCACGGTAAACCCAAAGACGCCTTCTGCGACCGGTGTAACCTGTGCCTCTGTGACATGTGTTACGAGGATCACGTGACAACTTCCTCCCAGTGTCCACCTCAGCTGCTTTCCGTGAGGAAAGAGGCGTCGAATATGAAAATGCGCGGCCCAACCCTGGAGCAGGAACTTTGGGATTTCGAAAAGAGGATCAGTGTAATAAACGAGCAGGCGAAGCGATCCATTGACGAACTGTCAAAGGATTGTGATTTGAAATGCTATCAAATCTGGCATGAATTAGAGATATTCCTGGAAGAGGCACGGCAGAAGGCCGGAGAGCTGTGTGACAATTTAAGAGAGATGACGTCCAAACAGATGAGAAAATGGCACCTCTCCGTTAATGAGAGAGATAACCTTTTGGAGAAGGTGAAAATGTGGCGCCTCAATTCGACTCATTTGTTAAGGGAAAACGCTGATGATACGGACGTCATTTATGGTTTGCGATCGGTGGAAGCAGCGCTTTCATCACGGATCCACGAATCATTTGCTCCTGAGGAGAAAGCTAAATTGGTCATGACATTTCCAAGTTGGTGTCAAGATTCTTTAGATAAGCTAGAGAACGAAATGGTTGAATTGATGGTAGAGACATCCACCCGCAGAAATTTGGAGTTTGAAAAATACTGGAATGTGCCGGGATCGAACCTAGATATTTCATCGATTCTTATCAGCGAAGAAGATGGTCACGTCTTTGTTGGCGATTGGGAGAACAAATGCATCAAAATTTCGTGAATCTGGCGAATTCTTACAAAAATGTTCTTTAAGTGATGAAGAAAAAAAATTAAGCCCTCAATCGATGTGTTTTAAATCGAATTATTATTTTTGTTTGTGGAGAAAAAACTAAAAACTTTAAGAAAAAATTAAATTGACTTTTGATATGGAATTTCAAAAAAAAAACTGTCAACCATTTTTAACTATTTCAAATAATGAACTATCAACACAAAAAAAGAATATTATTCATTATGTCAAATGAAACAGAAATTTTTCCAAAATTTGGGTTGTGAAGTTTTTAAAATTGAAGAAATTTGCTTTTCAAAAATGGAAGAAAAAATAAACAGAATAAAACAATGAAATTTGTCTTTGTTTTTTATAATAATCGCCCCTAAAAATGCTGATCCCAAAACTATTTTGTTTTTGTTAAATAAATTGGAATTTTTAAATTTTATCTTTAATATTTCAAACCATAAAAAATCTGTTAAAAAAATGTAAAATTAAAATAATTTTTTGTAAATTTTATTTTTTACTTTTGATGCATAAAAGGAAATAATAAAAATAAATGATTTGTCCACTTTGTTTTCGGAAAAAACAAATAATTACGTAAATGAAAAATGCCACAAACTTAAATTAAAATAAAGTTTTATCGTCAAAATGCTTATGTTATTATTAAGATGAAAAAATGAAAAAAAAATTTTTTTTTATTTTTTTAAGAAATTTTTAATATTTTCTAACACGTTCGAAATTTTGGTTAAAAATCGTCTTTTGTTTACGTCATCGCGGCGACGTTTAAAATAACATTTTGTTTTTTGCGTTTTTTTTTGCGTTGAAAACATATTGATTTGGAAATTCTTGTAAAAATAAAATAATTGTCCGATCTTAATGAAATTTTCAGGACTTATTCACAAATGAATGAAATTATTTTTTGAAATATTTTTTTTTTAAAAATTTTGGTAAAAAATTATTTTTTTTTTTATGTTACCCCACATTTACTTAATTTAATGAAATTTCGCCCAAAACCTTTTTGGTTCCTGAATTTTTTTTTTTTTTTTAAAAAGTAGGAGTCTTCGAAGATGGTAAATAACCTACTTTTTTTTTTCAAATTTGAGCTATTTAACTGAAAATCTGCTCTGAATTGAAAAATAATGAATACAATAAAACTATGATATTACTTAATTAGAAAAGCTTTTAATTGCTTTTGTAAATAAGTAATATTAAGGACATTATTGTCTGAAGAAATAATTTTTTCTGATGAATAATTAATTTTACAAGAATTTTTTCGTTTTTTTAATTTTAATTATAATAATTTATAATAGTTTTTAAATCGTGTAAAGCTCTGTATTAGGAGGGTTCCTCGATATTATGTAGTAATTAAGTAGAAAAAAAAAATTACGAATCCAAAATTGCTAAGTTTAATAAATTTAGTTGCGCTACTTTTTTTAAAAATAATTTTTTATGTTGTATTTTTTACTTAATACATTCCTTATTTCCATGTATGATATACAGAAATTGCCATTATTATAACAAGGTCACGTGATCTAAGGGTTTTGTCCCTTTACGTGGCCTTTTCAAAACATTTCGTTTCTTAACAGTTGTATTTTCCGTTCAGCTTTAAAAGTGTAAACTTTAAATTTTAAATTATTTTTTCTTTTTTTGCATTTACTATTTCACTAAATAATTTTATTTTATGTATTGTATTTCCATTAGTGTGTGTCATACTCAAATAGAATAATTTTTTTAAAAACTCAGACTTAAAAATTATGTCATTTATGGTCATCAGTAGTAGCTGTCATCGGCTCGTCATTCAACAATCATCAATAGATCGAACAGATGAACAGGACCGCTCGTTAATAATTGGTTGTATATTATTTTTTTATGCTATAAGTAACAAATATTTCTTTGAAATCAGATTACTTTAACTTTAAATTTTTTAATTTTACTAAAATAACGTGTCAGAATTTTTTTTAAATATTTTAAAAATCGATAAATTTGTGTTTGTTTACAAATTTCTTAAAATTAAGAAAATGGCCGTTTTTAAGAAAATTTAAAAATTTGAAATTAAATTTGACAATCAAATGTATATAGTTTCTATCTGAAATACACCAGAATTGTTTAATTAATAGAAATCGTAAATTTAATTATTAAAATTTCAATTAAAGCTAAAATGAAATCTTCAAGAATGTTTTTTCGTTGTAAAAAAAATTCATTTTAAACTTCAATATAGAAAATTTATGCCGAAATAGTGGAGGTACTTAAATAAAATTATTACAGTTTGGTAATATGAGTCAAGACAAGCAGTTTCAAGAATTGATTAGGCCAGAACTATACGCATGCCTGTATTTACATTACAGGAAACAGAAAATAATACTTGCGCCCATATCACGTTGAAACATTGGTTCTTACCCAATCATCGAAATAAAGCAATACTCAGATGTGTGAATGCTAGGTTGTGTATGTAAGTTACTTGACAGGCCTAGAAAGCTAGCAATGAATAAAATTTCGCTACTCATACTAACAGAAGAGTTCGATACGTGGAGATGCTTCTGGACTGACAGGTTTTAAGGCCTCCTTGGGGTTGGGCGAGAGTGTGAGTGCATCAGAAAATAGCGACATTTTATATTAGTCAAAGGGAAAACAGCTTAGGTTTCTATTTTAATTTTTAATTAATACTTAGTTTAAAAACTTCATATGTACTTTTGTGAAAAGGGCCCACCATTTCTGTATGATGACAGTTGCTTTTAAAATGATACCTTTGATTCAATAGTCTTTGCATCAAGGGTCAATTTTTATCTATCCTACTTATCCTCATAATCTTTATTTCCTCCTTCCTTCGTTCACGTATCTCACGCATCATTCATCATAATTTTAACAGTAACCCTCTGCCTTGAGTGGCTATCGAGCCTTATGTTGAGTGAATTTTAGTATTAAAAAACTTGATCAATATAAACTTTAAGTGGGCACCAGGAAAATGTTATACTGTTAGTCAAATGAGGTGAAATAGTTTATTTGAGAGCGAAACTGATAGCACTGACCCAGTCATAGTTATGTTATCTTGGTACACTGCTGAGTATTTGCTTATTTGGTTAAAAATCAACTCGTCTAAATTCATTGGCCATAGAACAATGGCGTAAGTATGCCTTCATGTTTTAAGACATGGGTGAAATCATTTATTTTTTGTCATTTATCTTTAGTTTAATTTTTTATTTTGTAACTTTTTTGTTTTGTTAAATATTTATTATAGATGTCTCTTGTTATTGATTTATTTTTTTCTCTGTCCTCCCACTGTGAGAGTTTTTATTATTACTATGATTGTTACATTTAACGCTCCTATTTAATTACTCTTGTTGCAATTGGAAATATTTTGGAGTAATGCAAAAATATTTGTTTACGGCTCTTTGCATTTATCTGTGCATTTTTACTGGTCCCGATGTCTAACTGATTCAACCTCCACAAAAAAAAAAACAAAAAAAAACGCAATACCGAGAGTTTGAAATGAATTTTAAAAAATGAAAAATCTTTCTAGAAGCTTTACTTTCAAGCTAATAGGTTAAATTTAATATTTCCAATAAGCAAAATTACTTTGCTGTAGTTCAAAAACTAATTTAATTTTACTGGAAAGAATTTTTTTTGCTAAAATAGCTGATTAGTACCTTTTTAATTGTCTTTCATCGCAATGTCATTCTCTTTATTAAAAAAATCTTCCAAAAATAAAATCTGCTCTTCTGAAACTTTATTTGAGGAATATTAACTGATCTAAAGTATAATTAAACTGATTTAAAACAAATATTAACTTTCAGGTTAAAATATTGCAGAAATGCATTTTTAACCATACAGTAGCTGTGTTTTTAACCGCCAGTCGCCGTATTTGTATGTTTGACGAGTTGATGACAGATCTATTGTTTTATGGAGACTTTATTTGTAAAACATAATTGAAGAAAATAACGTGAATGTCTTTTTTAATTAATTTTTAAATACTCAGTAATCTTAAAAATTTAGGTAAAAGTAATGTTTTATTAAATTTTAGAAATTTGGGCTTTAAATTTACTATATAAATTACTCTTATTTTCTGATAATGTCGTGTAAGGTCTACCGTACTTACAAAAACAGCACGTTTAATCACTAATTAAAAAAAAAATTCAAAATAATTTTATAAATATTTGTATTAAGAATTTTCATTTATGATTAGCAAATATTTTTTTCACTTAATAGTATCATCAAAATCCCTGAAATTAATACAGAATTATTAAGACTTAAACTTAATAAATTTTCTTATTAAAATAATGAGAACAATTCTTGTAAAAATCCATTATTTATCGAAATTTTTTTTCTTTTTACTATAGTGATCTTAATATATATATATATATAATCTTATTTATAAAAGCAATGAAAAGGTTTTCTAATTAAATAATATAGTTTTGTTGCATTTTTATTTTAACATTCAGAGCAGATTTTCATTCAATAGTGTTTCTGTCTGACAAAAGCAAATTGATGATTGAAATTCTCCAAAGAGTCCTGCTTTTAACTAACATAAATACAAATTTTAATTTCTAGAAATTTTATAAAATTATGTAAGAGGGGGTTAAAAGGTGCAAAAAAATATTTTTACCAAGATTTTCTAAAAAAAAAAAAAAAAAATTTAAAAAAAAAGACATTTTCCAAAATAATTTCATTCATGTGTAAATAAATCCTGAAAATTTCATTAGAATCCGACAATTATTTGATTTTTGCAACAATATTCATAACAATGTGATTTTTTTTTTTACTGCAAAAAGATGCTAAATTTCCCATATTAATATTTAATGCAATCCTTTGTTCAAAAAAAAAAACGGGATTTTTAACCAAACTTTCTAACGTGATAGGAAGAATTATAAAATTGAATAAAATTGCTTTAAGAGTGGTCATAATCAAAAAATAGTTTAGTCTTTCCTCTTAATAATAACAATCATTTTAGCGATAAAACTTTGTTTTTATCAAGTTTGGGGCCTTTTTCATCATGATAGGCTTGTTGGGGATATGCA